AAGATGAAGTCTCACCAGTGCTGAACAGAGTGAAAGACTCCCGTGACTCCAGTAGCAGATAATAGTTTGTCTGGTTGGGAGACACGGGCCAGCTGCAGCTGATACCAACTAATGAGGGAGCAGCCATGAAGATGGTTTAAAATCTCCAGGGCTAGGGACAGAAGTTACACATAAGCCAGTTTAAGTGATCAAAAACTGGTTTAAACCTGTAACAGAACAGAAGTTCAGTGCACATCAACCAGTTTCAAAATGCCTCAAACTGATTTAAGATAAACCTGGTAGTATCAGATTTAACTGATTGAGGTCAAACTAATTTATGGCACTTCTGTCCCAGACCCCTTCCTGATATAAGTTAAATCAGAGTCCCCCAGCATCCCAGCATGTTCTACACACCTGGGCTGGGCTGTGCTGTGCTCTCTGCTCTGTAGCTGGAGCAGGGGTGAGGACAGGGCCAGACACTGGCCAGCATGGCTTTCTAAGGTCAAGGGGGCAGGGAGGAGGCTTATTCCCTCCTCTCTCCCCTCTCCCACTGGGGGACCGCAGCTGCCAGGCCCAGCTGCTGCCTCTGTCACTCACCCTGCCTCCACAGTTTGAGCACCCCCTGACAGGGGCTGCTGGGCACTGATGACTATTCTTTGGACACAATAATCCAACCAGTTAATGCACCTGCTTTATAGCAGTTTTATCTAGAACATATTTCTTTTGCATACTTATGAGTTATAGAAATGCAAAGATATGCTGTGCCATTATGTTTCTGCCCAGACGTTGTGGCTCCACCCAGTATCATTTTTAACAAGGCCCTGAGTTATAACTTTCATGAATGAGAATGAATGACCGAGTTGTATCACTTTTCATTTCCCAATCTACCACTTTGGCAAGGTGAGAAGTCTATAAACATTTTCAGCAGGCTTAATCAAATATCAGTTGAGCATGATACACTTTACTATTATTAATTCTGGATGTTCTCTGAAATGTGCTATACAGCTGTTGCCAGTTCTACCTATTTTGTGTGCACACCACATTTAACAGTCTAAGATCTGACTGTGATTTTTTCTTCTTCAAAATTTGAGTGAACTGAAAAGTGCTGAGATACAGTAGAGACTTCACTGCTACACAGGTAAAACACAATAAAACATATATGAACAACCTTAACTTCCTGGAAAATACTCAAACCCACAAAGGGTTTTCTAAATTTGGCAGCTTTAACTTGTATCACTGAAAAACATAAAATTTTGTGAAATAAATAGCTGACAGCTTGCAAAAATAAACTTTTCTAAAGAACACATGATTAACTTGTACTCATGTAAAACTGGCTCTTAAAGTGATATTTATTAATCATATTATATGATACTTTATATATGGGTGGGAACCATGGGCTATATAAAACCTGTGTTGATGAAGAATCAGATTTTCAGTTAGGCTAAACTTTTATAACTCCATTAACTTCATCTGAATTATGACAATTTACAGAAGTTAAGGATGTCACCCAAGATGCATAAAACTGTCAGTTCTGTCAGAAATGATTTTAAACTTTGTATATTCGATAGGGTATACCAAATGACCATATAATAGATTTTTTTTCTCTCTCAGGAAATACATTTTACAATGGAAACCATATGAGAATGCAGCATAATTATGCATGCAATACCTCAACATGGAATCAGCAAACACAAATTCATGCAGTGCTCAATCTCAGGCCTCCAAAAGGTTTACACTTTGGAAACAGTGTGATTCTGAGAATAAAAAGGCAATTAATCTATTTCTTGGCTACAAATGAAAATAAGCTATTTTCCCTCTAATGTCTGTTCATTTTAAGAAAGGAGATCATTATAGCCTTTCCATAATAAACAATTTGTTTAGTTATATTCCATTACCCATTCTTAATCATTGTGGTGGTGGATTATGTCATGCTATTCAGGGTTTGAATTACGGGGAAACTCAGGGGTGCTGAGCCCCACATAAGAAATGAGAGCCTCCCTGTAAGATTTGAAAATCATAACCAGGGGGGAGTGGGGGAGGTCAGAATTCTAGGGGATTTTCTTAGGGCATTGTGATGGGCAGTCTAATTTTTTTTGCAGACCCCACCCAAGAATCAAAGTGTAATTCAAACTCTGATACAATTATATAATATTGTCAGAAGAGCAAGCATTTTAATAGGAAAGTTTACTATATTCCTTATAAAAGTACTATAAACTACCCTGTTTATCCTACATTAGTAAGGCTGTTGAACAGGTTGACATTACAATTATCTTCTATCACATTTGATAATTTAGCAATGGGCAAAGCACAGCATTAGAATGCACAATCCAAACAGTACAGGAAACAAATTTCTAATAACTTGTACATAAAATGGAAATAGTAAAGCAAGATAAAATGAATGAAGTCTCACATCAACCTTTTTAACATGATGTTAATCTACTCTTTAGACCGAAATCTCAAATTCCTTCTTGAATGCTGTGTTTGAGATCCAAAATTAAATGGATTTCAGCTGTAAGAAATGTTCCTCAATTAATAAAATATCTCAGGTTTCTCCCTTTATGCCAATGAGCATAGGTGGCATCCACTCATACAACCTTAAGAGTAATTTACCGAAGAAAGATCACTGTCACTATGTGAATCATACAATGTATCTTCTAGAGCTGACTAGATAATATATAGATCTTTGGCAATATCAGAAGTTTTGTAGATTTTGCAAGTCTACACCCAAAGTATGCCTAAGGAGTGTACCCTGTTTTATCCATAGTCCTAGTTCCCCATAGGAATGAGACAAAATGAAGGAAAGGTAGGGCCAGTCACAGCATTATATGTTACACCATCTCCTCTCCTTAGATGGAAAAAATGCTACAACTACTGCTTATGTTGTTGTAGCCCTGTGGAACAATTCTAGCCCAATCAATCAGAAATCCTCCCAATAGTTGCTGCTGTAACACAGCCACTTTATATGTCTGTGCTGGTGTACACTGCAGCTTTAAGACACGATTTAATCAATACAATGGTAAGAACCACACCAATATTTTTGAGCTTCTTACTGCCAAATAGTCTAAAAAAGGAAACATAGTTCTGCTGATCTTTTTACTGGATTTACCCAAGTGCAAGAAGGATCAAATTTTCTACCAGTCTTAACTGAGCTTCTACTTGGAACGTGCATGTGTTTGCAGGCACATTGTGTATTTGGCTATAGAATTTGTATGATCAAATTTCATTGCTATTTTCTAAAAAAATGTCTTAAGCATGTGCAATGTAAAGTTTGCTTTCAGATTCAGAACTTAAGGTGGAAAAATAAGTATGGAAAAATAGCACAAAGAAAACAAATTAAAAAGAGGCAACAACTTGCATGATAAATACATTTTTTTATCATTTATTTTTCTGCAAACTGCTGGTTTTGAATGTAAAGTTTTGTCTCTGGCTCTGAATTACTGCTTCATGCTATGTATACTGCTCTTCTGTAACCTTCAACATCAAAATTATACAAACAGTTCAGCCAGAAAAATCCAGTAAGAACATATAAGATTTGCTTAAAATATCATATGGGACCAGTTACAGCTCTGCAATACTTTAAAAAATATTGATTAAATAATATTAAAATATAACATGATCTGGTTTTCCATGAGGCCAATTTACTTTATTAAGATAAAATGTAAAATTAGCATGATGAGTAGTTGTGTTAAATAGCTCATTTCTTAAGATTTGTATAATGTCTGAAGAGGTCTTCTGTGCTATTTGGTGACATTATGTAGTAGAAGTGAAAAAAAATTAATTTATTTTTGTCCAGCTTGATTAAAATACTGTTTAGGGGAGAGCTCTGCTATTACTCATGAGAGAATTTTATTTTCCCGAGTCTAATTCCAGCTGCATATTTTTTATATCAAGTTCTGACTATTAAGTTTAGGGCCTGAGTGTCTCTGGACAGTATACTCCTGTGTCCTAGTTTTATCAGCTTTTTAACTGTGAGAGAACGTGGCTTCTGCTTCTCACAAAAAAGGTAGTGGCATAGAGAAAGATGTTCCAGAGGGGATATAACTGGATAAGTGCTCTCTGGCCAGCAAATGTGATTTCTGCAAACTTTGCTCAGGCTTGTCAAAGGGATAGGGATCAAAGAAGGAGTAATGGTGACCTCTGAATAATGGAACAAGCACAATTTTGATTTGTGCCGATACTGGCTCTGCATAGAGAAAAAGGAGGGATGTGGGATTTAGTGTGGTTAGGACAGCCAAGAAGGAAAAAAAAGGGTCAAATAATTTAATGGAAGAGACAGGGAGTCAAAGCAAGAGAGAGAACAAGAAACTGAGAAGGGTAATTAATGCCGAAGGAGAAATTGTGAGGTGCAAAAAATAATTCCCCTGCCTAAAAAAATACTAAAAACAGAATCCTCTTAATGCAAAATTATGTCAGAAGGCAGATATTTGCCTATATGGGAGAAAAGGGTGCAAATAGTGCCATGGGTTCTGGTACACCCCAACTGTAATAAGGCATGCAATAATTCTTAAGAGCACTAGGAGATGGCCCAACTTATCCTTAACAGATGACAGGGGGTTGTATGCAAGTTAATTTTGCTAGTGGAAAGCCCAGGCAGGGGATTTTTTCACTTCCTTGTACTAGTGACTCTTAGTGATTGTGCTTCTCAGCTTAAGCAGCAAACAATTTCCATATTTACTCAAATCTAAGATGGGGCTGCCTCCCCGCTCATTCAACAGTGAGGGGGAAAAGCTCCTCATCTTGGATTTGAGTACAAGGTAGTATGGCAGCCTGACATGGGATTGGTATTGGAGCTGCAGTTGGTGCCCCACCACATTTGCCCCCAAACCTGTGTTGCACTGCAGCTTCTGTCCCTCCCCCCCCAACCCGCCGCTACCCGCAACCACAATCAGGCCTACCCTCAGTAACAGGTCCAGCTCCAGCTTCAACCTCACTCTGGTTTGCAAGAGCGTAGACTACATGACTTGTGAGAATGCTTCCAGTTCTATGATTTTATGTAAACAATAAATAAATAAATAAATTACCTAAGTAACTATGAGCAGGTTTTTCTTCCACAACTTTGATTCTTCTTGCTCCTGCCGGTATCACCAAGGCTTCAACATAACCTAAGCATGAAATCAAATTTCTTTAGTTAGACACAAAATAGGAAAGAGTACATCTTACATGTTATTTCAATCTAACTGTCCCTGTGAATGGTTTCTATGGATGCTAATAGAGAATGCCTACAAAGAAGCCAAGCCTCTAACCTGCTGAGCATATGGAAATACTACTGACTTTCTAAGATCCTGATATGGCAAGATATACTAGCATTTGCCCAAATTTAGACAAGCAAGTAGTCCCATAAACTGCCAAGAATTAATGACATCCAATACCTCATTGGATCAGGCCCATAAACATTGAGGCCATATCTACATGGCATTTTTAATGCAGCAGGCAGTGGTTCCCCAAGCACATCCTCAAGTTATGCATCCTATCTTCCAGACTGGAAGTAGAATAGCACAATTTGGGCGCATCTACATGTACAATTAATGAAAAGCGATAAACTCCGGAGCATTTTCAGCTTGAGTGAATTACTCCCAGGTACAGGGTCTAGACATGTGCCTAGGACAGCAACAATTTCAGCCAGGGCAGAGCAGGCTTGGGCTGGCAGGAGGCATGGGGGGTCAGGCCCAGGCTCTGGGTGGTGGTGTTGGGTGGCGCAGCAGCCGGCTGGTGTATGAGGGTGCAGAAGCAGCAGAGCCATGTAGCTAGGTAGCAGACAGGAATCTGGTCCCTGCCCAGTCACCATTTACATGTGCGTTTCAGAGCAGATATGTACTCCATCATAACATAAGCTAGTACTGTCAGGGACAGTACTATCTTATGGCAGTATTAGTTTACTGCATCCTAATACCAGTGCACATGTAGATGGTGGCACTTTACTGCAGAGCTAATTAGTCAACTCCGCAGTAAAGTGTAAATGCAGCACTAATGGGCATGGAAAGTTGTCATAGTATATAACTGTCTGTGTCCTTAATTGGCACTCCTATATTAAGAAAACACTTCAAAGAAAAATTGCACAAGCTTTACTTTCTCTTCACTTTATGGGATAAGGAAATAGGACTGGTAGTTTTCCTTTCAGATCCTGCAAAAACGGAGTAGTCAGATTCAAAACAAAAATATGTACATGTGTATTATACATAATATACAATAATCAAAAGACAACAATATAACAAAATAAAGCAACTATTAAGCTACTATTCCTTCAAGAAGTTATGAGAGCAGAGACCGTACAGGGGACACTGTCTGAAGCCCAGTAGAGTGAGCTGTCATTAATGTTACCAAAAGATCACAAAGGAATTTCAAACTTACATGGTCCATACAAATTTTACGTACTCCATTAAAAACAGAGTTTTCTAACTTTTTTGTTTCTTTGTCATGCTCAACTATTTCTCTATTTATCTTTAAGTTGTCTTTATTTGGAGCATACTTAAATGATCTTTTATGGTAAAAGTGTAAGGTTAGCTTTTTTAAAAAGTCATCCTCTTTAAATTAAAAGAGAGCAGCACAGTTATGTGCAAAACTATATTTAAACACATTTTATTTCTGTAACCAGACTCTAAGACACACTTCACAGAATAGATAATAAAATATGATTTTTCATTTCGTATGTACTGAAATGAAGTTATTGAGTACTGAAATCTCCATGCTTGCTATCCTACCTTTGACACAAAAATTACACATTTTCAGCACAGTATTATTTATTTTTCATTTCCTTAAAAGTTAATTAAAATTTCTCTGAACTGTTTAAATTTCAGTTTCTGAGGTAGGAAAACATCTCTTCATAAAGCATGCTTAAAAGCTGATTATATGTTATATTATATGTCTAACAGAATCCTGAATATACCCTGTTGGATGTTTGGATATTGATTTCAGTTATAAATGAGAACTGGCAGATTTTGACTTATATGGACAGCCAGCTTCTATAAAGCTTTGGAGATTCAAACTTTGATCTGTAACCAACACTTAATCTCCATTACTCTCTATGGTCCTAGGCTTTGTATGTCACTTTCCCTGTTCTACATTATCTCCAGTCTAGGAAAGAGCCACATTCAAGCAACTGAAGGCTGTGTCTAATTTTCTTTTCTAAAGTACTGTTTAGTTTAGTCTACATTGCACTAAAGTCTCCTGATTTCTAAACATACGCTGTCTGCTTCTAATTATATTATTTTTGTGCTAAAAGATCTACTTGCTATCTTGAAATTTTGTAAATTTTCCTAGCAAGAAGCTGAAATCATAACTACACACACGTTTTATTGCTGAAATAACGGCCTGTCAAATGCACTTCCAGATTAAGGATTGTTTCTAATGTTTAGGCTTTGTGATGAAGTGTACAATGAATAACATTATCTTAGGGCCTTGTTACAACGTTCTACTGTGAACCGCACAAACATTGATAGGTGTTAGTGCTGGCTTGAGTTTGGAACAGTTGCACGTTCATGGGCCTGGGGGACTGAAAGGTAAGAATCCTCCCACCTCCTATTCCATACTTCTTCCTTGGCCCTTGGGGCTCCCCTGGTGCTCCCCAGCCCAGCAGCAGTGGTGGCAGCTGGGCAGGCAGGTTAACCTTTCCCTGCATCCTTCCCAGGCTAGATAGCATGGGCAGCCACAAGTAAGTGGTTGCTAGGGATGATGGGGTGGAGGTAGTGGGCCTTTTTGGGGCCAACGGGGGGCAGGGGCAGGTGGGTGTTTTCACCAAGGTGTAGACTAGAGTGGCTACACCACAGGTCTTTGTTACACCTTATGCTGTGAGGCACACAAAACAGTGATAGGTGCTAGTGCTAGCTTGGAGTTTGGAGCAGTTGCACCCTTAGTCTAAAAACCTTCTCTGACTGTACCACACCTGCACAGCAGTCATTTGACAACAGAGGCCTGGGGAGCAGGGAGGTCCCTTCCAGCCCTACTTCTCTATGCTTCTTTCTGATTCTAAGGCCAAGGATGGGAGGGCAAGTACCTAGCTCCCCTGGGCTAGCAGTGGGAGGCTGAGACTATGCTTACTGCTGGGTGAGTGGGAGGTGGTGAAAGCAAAAACCAAAGCAACTCCCATGAAACCAAATTAGAGGCTGGCCTCTGGGATCATTTCCATGGGACTGAGGCTTGGCACCAACAAGGCTACATTGGGGGGCCCAGCACTCCAAGGCCTAGCAGGACAGCTGAGATGCCCCCAGATCCCCTTGGGGATAGCTGTCCTGACAATCTAGACTCAGAGCTGGTCTGTAGTTTGCTGGCAGGTGGCTGTGCCCACTCCAGTGTGGAGGGAGAGAAGGAGGGAGGAAGGAGGGAGCATTGCAGAGGCAGTGGGGCTGGCCAAGGTGCTCCAGCTCCTCCCAAAGTTGGCTTCACTTTGCAGCTGGGAGTAGAGTCTGCCCACATCTGGCTCCTGTGTCTACACAGGCAGCAGAAGAGCCCCATGCCCGCAACCCAGATCCACCCAGTCTTCCCACCCTGGAGCAGTGGCTTTCCTGGCAGCAGGCTATCCCCCAAAGCAGCTGTTGTGGAGTGGGGCATGCCTAGGCATGCCTACGTGACTATGAGGATGTGATTAGGCTCCCTTCCCCCTTCCCACTTAAGAGCTTGAGACTTGTCGGAGCCTGGCTGAGTCTGGGGACTTTGTGGGGCTGGCTATGCTCTCCACCACTTCCCAGGGCTTAGAAAGGGTAAGGGGCATGGGGTTCAGCACTGGCCACCCACCCTGATAGGCTTAATGCTGGTGAGGGAGGGGCCACTGGGGTACTGGAGGACTTCAATGTGAGCGACATATCTGTGGGGAGTAGTCAAACTTTAATGGAACAGGAGCTGGGTTATGAGGATCACAGATAATCCTGCCCTGAAGTGGCGTAACTTTGAGATGCATAACAAAGCCATTTTAAGGTGTTAATGTGTGGACAATCCAGGGGTTAACAGCTCTAAGAGCTACCCAAAATTACCATGTAACAAGGTCCTTAGTATAACATGAGCTGGGTAACACAGATCAGAAATAATCCTGCCCTCGAGTGGCATAGCTTTGAGCCACCTAAGGAATGCTGAAAACTAGTTTAAGGTGTTGATGTGCAGACAATCCAGGTGTTAAGAGCTCCAAGAGCCATCCAAAATGACCATGTGCCAAGGCTGTTATTCTGCAAACCCTTACGCTCCGAAATCATGTATTAAACCCAATGAGAATACTAAACTCTGAGAAGGGAGATAGGATTAGGGCCTCAGGTCCTATACCACTTTAAATATACCATTCACATTAAGATATATTAACAAAACTATAAAATGGTGAATGATAATACTCTATAAGAGTTACTTATTCTTTTAAAGAACTTCTTTAAATTCTTATATTGCCTCTTGTTTAAAGGCTTTCATTCAGATGATACATCATAACACAGATTAACATTTATTCTGAAAATTACTAAAAGAAAAAAAATACTGCATTTCAAAATTATAAAGTGAATTTTACTAAATGTTGGTCCCCAATCTGTCAGAATCAGCCTCAATTATGAGATAATCTACTTTATATTGGAGAAAACTGTTTTATAGCACTGATGTTTGTTGTAGGCAGTGCATATTGGGTCATTCTTCTTCTACTATAATCCAATGGATAACAGATAAAACATCAATTTACAGTTTCTTCATTTCTTCATGAATTCTCACATAACATCTCAGTTATATCACATCATAACCAAACATCATTCTCTATAGAAAGTCTTATACAGCTTTTGAAGTGGGTCTGGGGTAATAAATTGCTAAGCAAAAGGTAATATAGTGCCTGACACCCAAACTAATAAACCAATGGTGTTTTTGACTAGGTTAAAATAATAAAGAGATTTACCTGCTCCTCTGGTATGATTAAAATCACCTTTAATGACTTTACATGATTTTCCATTGCCGTTGCACACACCACAATGATCTTCCCGTGCTAGAGATCCTAATATTCCATCACAGCCAAATTTCTGTGGGAGAGGGGAAAAAAAATGTACGGCTTCTGCAATTCAGACATTGCTCACAATTTGGAGAGAAGCAAAGCATAGCTGCCCTGCAAAAGGGAGAGAACCACAGGACATTCCTGAAGATAATTCTCACTCCTTTGCTGCGTGCAGATCACTAACTTCCCCACACGCTGTACTAATCCATATAAACACAGTACTTCTTCGCACTTATGACCTAGGACAATGTGGTAGCGGTCATGCGAGAAGGGGTGGAACCAATCTCCTATTTGCCTTGTCCTCTCTCCCTGGTGGTACTGTGATCACCTGGGGATAAGACCAGTACTACCCATAGATTCTTGTGGTCCTCACACAAACAGCAGTTTTGTTTGGCCTTATGCTCACTGTGCAAAATAGGAGAGGTTCTCCTCTGTATTATGCCCCTCCCCACAAGGCTCAAGCACAATCTAATGTCAAATCACACAGTGAACCCTGTTTACTATATTAAAATAAGTATGAAAATGTGTGGAATCCAAATTATATAGTTGCAAATGTAAACTTTATTAATGCTTTATTGAAAAGTTAGCAATACAAATACTTAGCTAAATACAGGAACATTTATTCTACACTAGTTACCATGCCAGGCTTAGTTCTATCGATAAACATAATTGCTAACTCGATGACAGAAAAATAGTTTCTACTGAATACCATATGTTGTTCTGATATGAAGTAAAATATATATTTTTTAAAGTCTGGGGAAGTCATCCAGGGCAGTCAGAATCAACTGTATTAGTGTAAGTGCATGCAGTGAAACCAATAAAACCTCAAGTCCTCTCACAAATCATGAAGACAAGGGCAGGGTAACTATAAAATAAAATAATTCTATAAAAATAGAAATTACTTTGCACTGAAAATCTGTTAGTTTTCAAGCACACGATGATTGTTACTTCATTTCTGCATTATGGTTCTTTAAAATTGAAGAGAGGAAAGTAATATAGATGGGGATTTTTCAAATGAGAATTCTGATCCAGATTCACAAAAGTATTTAGGTACTCGGTCACATTTTAGCAGGATTTAGGCACCTAAGTCCAAAATTAAACCTAAAACCCCCCTGCTCAACTGCTACCTAAACCTAACAGCATCCAAAGTCCCAAGTTAAATACTTTTGACTTTGAAGTTCCACAAATACCTGAAGTTCTGCTATCTGGAATGCACAAAAACACCCACAGTCTTCACAGGACTGAACAATTGTATGCTGGTTTCATACTTAAGCCTTGATGAGATCCACAAATTAGGAATTCCTCTGCTTTGATCTTGATAATATATCAACGATACTTTGATCTTGATAATACATCAAGATCCTCACAAAATGCAGAGGTAGCTGCTGCTCTTTTTTTTAATTTTTTTTAAACGAAAGGGATGGAGAAGGAAGTCCCACTTTTATCCAAAATAGCTTATATGACATACACATGAGACCCCCAAGTTTAATTCCCATCTCTCCTTAAGGATTCAAACCTATCTCTTACTTTTCTGTCCAAATATTCCTCTTGCAGAAAATAATTAAATATTTATTGACAGAAAAAGACAGCAAGTCTCACTAATGTAGCGGTGCTTAGAGCACTACACAAATGGCACACTTGGGTCACAGTCCCGGCTTCAAGGAGTTTTAATGCATTTTATCTAGTGGCTGTTGAATGTAAAATACCTTAAAAGTCCTAGAACCCAGGACACCCTCCCTCCCTTATTTTCTGGAGTTGTGGAAGATGGGGGCTTCATTCTCTCCAAGCAGAGAAAGGCACTGAATCTGCCTGAGTGCTCCCAGGGGAGGGGATTGTTCTCCTGCGTCCTGCTGCCCAGGTTGACCGGGAGCAAATCTGCTCAGCATCTACACATGGGCATTTACACATTTGGTTAGCATCTACACATTTGGTCAGCACCTATATATGGGCTACTGCACAGTAATTATGGCACAGTAATTATTGCATTTGCAAATGCAGTTGACTAATTGACTGCACAGTAAATGTCTGCACGTGTAGACGGTGACATTTTACTGTGCAGTCACTTAGTCAACAACATGGTAAAGCGTCTCATGTAGACACGCCCCTTACGTAACATATCATTATGAGACATAAAGAGATTGGACAGAAGAAACAGTCAGCAAAAGAGGCAAGAAAGGACAGCTGAAGGGTAAAATGCTTCCATAAATCCAGGTCAAACCTGAGGGCAATGTAACAGGTACAGAATTAGCATTCAGCTCGTATTATACATGAATTAGGTCCTTCAGTTACAGCTGATTTTGACCTAAAATACTACATTTCTGAAAGTCAGCTAAATTAAATGCACACACACATATATACGTCAGCATGTCCCACAAATTTGAAAAATGGACCATCCTTTAGAAAAAGAAACCAATCATGGCCTCCACCATTCACCTTAATGCCTATATATTTTGTGTTCTCCCACTAGTCTTTTAGCTACTCCATAGATTCAGAGTTAAGAGAAAAAGTGAAATGAGTGAAATAAATAAAATTATTTTTAAATATTAAATGACAAAATAACAAGGCAGTGACCCTGTATGTGTGTGTGTATGCACACATGTACTTCTGATACAGATATAAATTGGCTCTAAAAAATTGATTCATACCTGGCATCTACCATTAGCACAGATATCTAATCCTTGCAGCCCACACGAAGTCCCATCCATGACCTTTTCTGTTAGAAGAATAGGTTGATCCTTTCCTCCAGGGGAACAAAATAATGCACATGGTTTTTCTATAACATCAATTAATAAAATAAATTAGTTAGTAAAATTGATCTAATATAAGCAAAAATTTTCCAAAGCAATGTTCTGGTAATGATGTCTGGCTATCTTCATGATGTTAATAATAACTGTAATTAAAACTTTAAGACAAATTAATATATGATTCTCAATCTTGTTTTGGAAAATCACTGTTTTGTCCCTGTTGGAAAACAAGAACGTTTTCCTGGGCACATCTACCAGATACGCTTCTGAGAAGTGGTTACCGTGCATTTATTTAGTACTTGGACAAGTGCTAAATAAATGCAGTGCTAAATAAATGCACAGTAACTGAAGTTACTTTGCAGTAGCACTAGCGAATGCCTTTTAAGTGATCCTATTGTGCAGTAGCCTAGCGCCATAGTGTCTTGGCATGGTTTTTGCCATGCAATGCTACTGTGCAGAAGTATCAGCCTACTATGCAGTCAGCATCTCACATAGATGCACCCCCTGTGTACAAAACTTTAGCTTATATAATACTAATGTCATATTCATTGCTGCAATAAAAAGGTACATCAGAGCGAATACTTTCATTGTAATATACTTTCATTTTCATCTATACTTCTAATAGACCACGAAAAAAGAACTTAAAACATTTCAAACTTTCCAAAATGCTAGTCAGAATAAGCAGCAGCCCAAAAGAATAATGCCCCAATTTACAAAGTTTACATTGCTTCAAAAAACAACTAAGAACAAACTCTTCTTTAACAAAGCAAGTGAATTACTATTTATTCCAGTGGTGAACTGTTTTAGTCTGAAGTCAGGCAGTAGAGCAGAGTGGCACCTTAGGCTCCTGACAGACATTAAAGATGAGATGGGATCTTATGTGAGATCCCAACTATCACATTTCCTGACATGCCACATGTGTACATCTGATCCCACTGTGCCATATTGCTGGTGCACAGGGAACCCAATACCAGGCTCCCCCTGCCTGCACTGGCAAGTACCAAACTTTGCTCCCAGCCATGGGAACACACCAAGTGATCCCATGGCTGGGAGTACAAGTCAGCAGATCAGAGCTCCCAGCTTGGGCGGGGCATGGTGCACTCCGTCATCTGAAAGCCCCAATTAGCTGATGGGACCCCTAGCTGGGGGAGCACATGATGAAAACTCCAATCAGCTGCTTCAGAGAAACAAAATTTATGAGGAAAGGTTGAAAGAACTAGGGGTATTTAATCTGGAATAGAAAAGACTGAGGTGGTATTTGACAACTGTCTTCAAACACCTGAAGGGAGATTATAGAGAGGATGGAGATGGGCTTTTCCCTGTGGCTGTAGGGAACAGGACTAGGAGCGATGGCATCAAATGGTGGCAGAAGAAATTCAGGTTGGAGATTATGAAGAACTTTTTGACTATGAGGGTGGTCAGGCATTGAAATGGGTTACCTAGAGAAGTTGTAGGACCTCTGACTTTGGAAATTTTAAAGAGTGAACAGACACTTGGCTGGGATGATTTAGTCAGGGACAAACCAAGAAATCCCTTGGTACTGTAAATAAACTTGAACTGCATATAAAAATGTACTGTTTAATTATACCTAGTATTTCTGAACACACTAATGAAGACTGACAGGATTTGTGATCCAAAAACATGGGGAATCTTTGACAGAAGCTGTAATTTAGTTTTCAGTCTAATTATTTTAAAAATAACAAGAGAAAATATCTGTTTATACAATACTGTTTAAGAATATTAAGCAATACAGTTCTTCCCCTGAGTAGTTATTAATTATACATAATACAGATTGGTTTAAAGCCTCCATCACTGGCATTTTGCATAGACCCATGTGAACAACTCTCAATTTTTATCGAAACAATTAGAATAAATGTGTATGCATGGCTTTTAGCATTTGGCAAAACACTGATCCAGCTTCGTTTTAAGGCAGTGGTTTTCAAATTGTGGGACAGACAAGAACTTTGCAAGGAACCAGCACCACTGCAGCCATGCAGGGGGATGCAGGGGAAGGGAGCCCTGGGCAGGCTCTGCCAGTGGGCTGCTATACCTTGTTGGCTTCAAAATGGTATTTCATAGTTTCATAGTTGGTAGGGTCAGAAGGGACCTGAGCAGATCGTCAAGTCCAACCCCCTGCCATGGCAGGAAAAAGTACTGGGGTCAAACGACCCCAGCAAGGGGTTCTTCTACCTTCTTCTTAAAGATCCCCAGGGTAGGAGCCAGCACCACTTCGCTTGGAAGTTGGTTCCAGGTCCTAGCTGCCCTGACTGTGAAGTAGCGCCTCCTGATGTCTAGTCTGAATTTATGGTTTGTTTTTTGGGAATTGGCTTATAGGTATATGTATATATATTAGAATGGTTCAGGATGGACAAGCAGGGGTTAACTGATTTCTAAGAAGCCTGGGCCTCTCACACACAGAGTTTCATACAGCCCTGGAAACAGACAGGCTATCTAACACAAGGACAATGGATATACACATAGTCTGGGAAAGAAGGGGCATGTACCACACTATTTCCATAACATGAGATAAGGGTAATACCAGATAACAAGGCTCCAGAGATGGGTGGTCTGAGTCCCAGTTTTGGAGGAACAGAACATATTAGGAGAAGGTGTGAAATACCAAATTAGTATGTATGCATGTGATGAGCTACACAGACATGTGATGAACACAGAGAGACCAACCAGCAACAGCCATGGATCCAGTATAATCCGGAGTCTTCAGGAGGGAAGGAGAATACAAAAGCAGAGACTTGAAGGTAACAAAGTGTCCTCTGCCTGGGTCCCTCTGTCCTTCTCCCCAAGAGGGGTCCCTGTCCCCTGGGAGGGTCCCTGAGGCCACCATGAACAGAGGGCACACCACCAGCCCATCTCATCCACCCCACTGGTGGGGGAGGCTCGGCATCCCCTTCCAGGCTGCTGGCATCTGACATTAAGAGAGAGCCTCAGAGTGAAGCCTGCATCTTGACCAGATGTATCCTGATCCTGATGACAGCCCTAGGATTGGTAGTATATAGATTGCTTGATTGTTTGTATTGCTTCTTTTCTGTTATCACTGTGTATCAATAAATTTACCTATTATCAAATGGAAAGGTTGTAGTTGGTCTGAGGGTGGGTCGCTGCTGCCGCCCTCCCCACCCCCAACCCCCTGAACAAGACATCTGGGTCCTAAATCCAGGGTGGGGAAGAAAGGGGGAGGGGTTGCGCTCTATGTCAGTGAGCAATATATGTCAACCCTCATCAAGACGGAATCCAAGGATGAGGAGGTAGAAGGATTGTGGGTTAGGCTACATGGGGGGCAAGGAGAAAGGGATTTGGTGGTAGGGGTCTGCTACAGACCCCCACATCAAGGGGAAGAAAGAGATTCAGGGCTCCTGAGGCAACTCTCGGAGACCATAAAAGCTAAAGAGGCGGTAGTCATGGGGGACCTAAACTACCCGGACATCTGCTGGGAGTCACAGACAGCAAAGTCCCACCGCTCACGCAGGTTTCTAACCTATGTACAGGACCTCCACCTGACACAGGAGGTACACGGTCCCACTAGGGGGAATGCCATACTGGATCTGGTATTGGCAACGGGGGATGACATGGTAGGGGACCTCCAGATTGGTAGCCATCTGGGGGTCAGTGATCACCTAATAATAGAATTCACCATAAGACGTCGAGCGGGTAAGGTAACTAGTAGGGTGAAAGTGCTAGACTTTAGGAAAGCTGACTTCAATGAACTCAGGCGATTAGTCAAGGACGCACTGCAGAGTAGGAGTTTTGAAGTGATGGGAGCCCAAGAAGGGTGGCTGTGCCTTAAGGAAATGAGCCTTTGGGCACAAAGCAAGATGATCCCCGAGCGAGGCAAAAGGGGGAAAGGGACACGTGCATGTTCACCCACACACACACACACACACACACACACACTCTTCCCCAAGATCAGATTTTGACTAAATTGATACCACTGTTTCAGTCCATCTTGGTTATGATGCAGCTAATTATTGCAACAAATTGCATCCATTTTCCATTGATGTTTTTTCTTTTTGATTTTTAGGGAGAAAATATGTTTGGGTTGACAAAAGGATAAAACAGAGATTAAATATTAATTCTCTGGCAAATCTGGGCCTGATTCTGATGCCATTTCAAGATAAATTTGACCTAATTCTGTTAACATCAGGTTGTTCCAGGATTATAACTCAGAAAACTGCAGGAACTGTAATGCTGCTGCTTCAACTCCTACTGCATTCAGAAAAAAACTGCTTTGTGTACAGTATATTCTCTTTTGGGCTATATCTGTGTGCAGTTACGGTCTGTGCTAGACTGAACAAACAAAGGAAATGAAATATATTTGCTTGTCACAAAGAGTCCTTTCTTCATGTGATGCTCATAAAGTTGGGCTAGATCATTATGATCAACATAAACATAAATACTCATCTAATATAAACAGATTGTCATGTCTACACAATTCTGTCATCATCAAAACTGACTTTTCCTCCAAAGGGTCATAATACTTTCTGCAGCAAGGATGCTGCTACAAGAGGGTGCATAGAGATTTAATAGGCGTGGAAGTGGTACATTTATTGATAAGGGGTAAACAGTTATGGTGAACTTGTGGGGACACTGAAACTACTGCTTACAACTATGGACTGTCTAGGGTGCAATACTGCAGGAAAGAACCTAAGGGTCACAGTGGACCATAAACTGGAAATGAGCCAACAGTGTGTTTTTTTGTTTGTTTTTTTTTGCAAAAAAATCCTTTAAAATACAGTGCATACTGTATTATAGGAGCATCCCTTGCAAATCAAGGGATGTGGTTTTGCTCTATTCAACAGGGGTTAGGCTTCACCTGAAGTACTGTGTCCAGTTTTGGACCCTACACTTCAAGAAGGATGTGGACAAATTAGAAGAGAGCAATAGAAATTATTAGAGGCTTCAGAAATGTAACTTATGGGGCCAGGCTGACAGAAGTGGGGTTATTTATGGCAGTCTGAAAAAGAGAAGATTGAGACGGGGGTTGATAACAGTCTGCAAATACCTGAAGGATGGTTAATTGAAAGATCAAGATAGATTATTCTTTGTGGCTACAGGGGACATAAATAGTCAAGGAGCAATGGACTTGAATTTCTGCAAGGGAAATTATTTAGGTTGGGGATTAGGAAGAACTTTTTTCACTATAAGGGTGGTTAAGATTTGGAGCAGGCTACCCAGAGAACTTGTGGAATCTCCTTCCTTGGACATATTTAAGAGTAGGTTAGACAGGCACTTGATTGTGATAGTTTAGTTAGGGATGATCCTGCCTTGAGTAGAGTATTGCTCTAACTTAACTTCCTGAGAGACTAGAGAAAATGGATCTATTCAGCCTCCGCAAGAGAAGGTTGAGAGGCGACCTTGTGGCTGCCTATAAGTTCATCACGGGGGCACAGAAGGGAATTGGTGAGTATTTATTCACCAAGGCGCCCCCGGGGGTTACAAGAAATAATGTCCACAAGGTAGCAGAGAGCAGATTTAGATTGGACATTAGGAAGAACTTCTTCACAGTTAGAGTGGCCAGGGTCTGGAACGGGATCCCAAGGGAGGTGGTGCTCTCCCCTACCCTGAGGGTCTTCAAGAGGAGGTTAGATGAGTATCTAGCTGGGGTCATCTAGACCTAGCACTCTTTCCTGCTTATGCAGGGGGTCGGACTCGATGATCTATTGAGGTCCCTTCTGACCCTAACATCTATGAATCTATGAATCTATGAATCCAGAGCCAACAAGCCTTCAAAAGCCTAGCATGATAGGTGTGCAGGCTAGAGGCACAGCTGGGCCAAGGCAGAAGGCGCTGGAGCCATGGCGGGTGGAGCCCACCCTGCCAAGCCAAACCAAGCCATGGTGGCTGCTCGGATGAGAGGCCCCTGTGCTTGGCTGCACTGCTCCTCTGGGGTAAAGGGAGTGGAGGGGGGTGGGCACAAACAAAATTGTAAAACAAAGCAGAACTCAGCTCAAAAAATGTGAAAACCACTGTTTTATACCTAGATATACAGTATTTTTAAATGTATGATTTTGTTATTATCAATGTTTCTGATAATTTTTTTAAAGCTGCAGTTTAACTTGTGATAAAGCATTTCTAAGTGATCTTGCATCTCAGACTGGATTCATATCTTTATCAACAGTGGCTGAAATTGTGATCATTTCTAGAACTGTTTTTGTAATTCAATTCCTTGGGTTAGTTTCTTTGACAAAAATACATTATGACAATTTAAAAGGAAATTCAATCTAACAGCAGCTATTGTTCACATTCCTTGCAGGAACTTGGGTAGACTATTTCTTTTTTAGACTGTCAGGATTTTGTGCTTACTTTAGTTTTACAGATATCATAAACATCTGAAACTACACTTTCCATGCTTGAGTGCACCCTTAAAGTTAGTAAGCAAGACTGGTACATTGTAGTAGCATCCATGAAGTATGCCAGAACTTGGCAAGCAGTTGCTGGTTGGATTTATAAGAAACTCATGCAAGTCCAAGATATGCATTAAACATGAGCTTCTGCCAAAATCCAGCAGAGGGTATCTCTTTGAAAATGAATGCCAACTACATTGTCTCTGCATTGTCTCTTTAGCTTTGTACCTAAATGTATAACCAACACACATTGTCTTAAACATCTTGGTGCTCCTCTATAAAGCTTAACTTATAGCTTTTATTATTACTGAATTTGACATATCAATATCTAATTTATATCATAGATGATCACTGTGATCTGTACTGGGGACATCCAATGCTATATAAAGACCAGATAATGGATCCTAGGAGTAAGTGAAACCGCCACTTATCCACAGAAGAAATAAGCAGTAAAGTTTAAATGATTTGCTGGGAAATTATTTTGCAGCTCAGGCTTGCAGAACGATAATTTTCTTTTTATTATAATCTCATTTTCAATTAACAGCAATCCTACTCGATCTAGAAAATATATGCATATTACAGGTTCTTAAGGATGCAATTTAGTCATACCATCATCTATAACAGCCTGCCACTGGAGTATGTGCTTCTGATATGAAGATCTGACACTGAAAGCCTGGCATTGCCAGTCCCTGAATGCAGGCGCTCCAGCAGGACAGGAAAGGTTCTCACATATTTTATATTGTAGTCGAGGACCATGACAATCTCCTTCAGGACCAGGCCTAGAGAAGATGATATAAACACTTTTATTATTGGTTGGTGACATTTTAGTCAAACTCTTAGAACATAGCCCAGTTCACTCAGTCTGTACAAAAAAATTGTTTTAATAAACAGACGTTTTAATAAAATAGTTTGTTTTCCATAAAAAAGCAAGAAGATTCACTAACAACAATTCAAACTTTTTATATAAATTACATTTCTGTTGTATTTCTGGTTAACTATTTTCATATATAAGAATTACAAATGCCAGCCTTTCGTTTACACGTAGGCATTAGGAGAAGAGGAAATTCACCTTATATCTCCAAGAAAGATTATTAGAACCTCCAAGTGATTTTTCAGTATTATTAAGGATACTTTTCAGCCCCTGACTGAGCCAAAGCTATTCTAAAGTCATCAGTGAGGGGACACAACAATTTCATCTACTTCAGACTGACTTTCTTCAAGTTGTTGATGCAACATTATAATGGCCACAGACAGGTATTCAGTTCTCTGGAATTCTTACTGGTAGAAAAACAGCCCAGGAACTTGAGTGTAAATGTGTTCCAGCTCCTTGCTGGAGAACTACACAGGCAAGCTCTGGGGACACTATGGGACTGCTCCCTGGCCTTCGTAGGGGAGCCCATTAGAGGAGCCTAAGTTGTCCTCAGTTAGCACCTGGCAGGGGACAGGCTGTCAGTTAGCAGGTGACAGACAGCCCCAGGAAGTTCCAGCTGTTTGGTGGGATAAGGAGGGGCCATATTATCATAAGATAATAGATCCCTATCCTTGCACTCCTCCAGGCCAATCCAGAGGAATGTAGGCGGAGGGTGGGGGGTGACATGCGGCCATGGTAGCAAGTCTCAGGCAGCCTTCTTGCTGGGCACTGCAGCCTGCCTCCCCCACTCTGCTCCAGGCTGACCAGAACAGTACAGGGAAAGGCAGGGGCATTCTCCCATAGTGGGAACTTGTCCAGAAAGTTCCTTTTGTAAGAGAATCCCTCCCCCATCCTGCCAATCAGTTGGTTGGAGAGAGGGAAGGGGAATTTTTCAGGGCAGGGTATCCAAAGAGCTCACTAATAGCTCATTCCTGAGTGGGCTATCCTGGGTCAGTGGTCTTGCTCCTGTCCTCTCCCTTGGAGAGATGGAGAGAGATCAGAGGATTGTGGAATATTGGGTGCCGTCCACACCTGAGACAAGTATACGGCCATTCAAGTTAGACTGGGAGGACAGAGATCTTCCTGGTAGTATATGATCTAACTTCTTGCAGAAGAGCCAGTTCTCTTCCACAAGAAATCCAATGAATAACTTAACGTGTTTTTTGTGCTGGAAGAAAAACTTCTCTGGCATAAATGAGACATTTTCATGACCAATGTTACAGACAGTTTTTCTCTCTATGCTTTCCTCTGACTCTTCAGTTGATCCTATGGGTGCTAATTAAAGGAGAGGACAAGCAGAAGATAGGAACTGGAAAGCATTCAATTATTGGGAAACCTTGCCTGGAAAATGAATGGAAATGAAAATAAGGCATCTCTGAAGTCTGGAAATAATTCATGGGTATGCAGCTGGAAGTAACATTCACATGGGAGGGAACTAGGGCAGCATTTTGTCTTTTCTACTAGACACCTTGCTGTAGTACATTCATTGTTTTTTCTTCTTTTTCCTTTTTACAAAATCCTCTGTTCTTCAGTCTCCACATCCCTTGTGTCCTCTTGTCTTTAGCTCTGTTCTGGAGTGTCTCTCTTCTATCTTCTCCATCTTTATTTTCAGCCTTCAGAATATTGTCCCTTCCTGTTCCCACCTCCCACTTTCCACTCTACTTTTTCCTGCTCTTATATACTCCTTTCTTTTATGTTTTAAAAATGAGTGACCTGCAAAGAAAAAGTTGGTTTTGACCAACTGGGAGGAAAGTATGTTTTAGTTGGTTAGTTACATACCTGAAGTAATAGACTGGCCCGATTGATGTCATTAGTAAAACTGGATTGGTCTTCAATGGGGCAAAATTACCATGTCTGCATTTCTTTAATTATTTCATTCATAGCTTTTTCATTTAAATGCCTGTAAAACTGCTAGAAGGAAACTTCTTTATGTAAAACTTTAAGTATCTGTCCTTCTAAACAGACATTACAAAATTCAGTTTTTCTTCTTCAAGTTTTTTGGAATAAGAAAAGACATGGCCTGATATTATGAATATTTTTCCAGATTTAAAAAACCCCACCAAAACCTAAATAACTAATAACAAAGGGCTTTCCTTCCTTTGTGGGTCACCTTTAAAAATGTGGTTGTATTGTTCCTGCTCTGTTGTTCTCACTAGTTTTACATAGTGTAAGCCCCAACAAAAAACAAGCCTCCCAAAACATAAATCTTCAGCAAAATTGAGAAAATATTCAAATATAGCCTATGAAGATACCCGCTTTTTAAATGAGTTTGCTTCAATTAGGTCTGTTCCTTGCATATTTAAGTGAATATTTTAGTGAATCCATTTACAGTTGGAAACATTCCTCGATATTACAAATTTTAGATAAACAATGGAACAATGTGAATTTTTAAATTGTAAAATTTTACAACAGAAGCTACATTATGAAAGCTATACATCTCCAACTAATAACGCCAATGAAAACTAGAGAGCACAGCTCAAATCTTAAATACTGAATACTTGTAATGAACAAGAAAAGAGTAGCTTGATGGAATTATTTGGAAAAAATCATTTAGAAGAAGATACTTATTTGGGAAACCAGCAAGGGATTTCCACATAGAAAATGAATAATAATACAGGGAAACAGTTCACTATGAATGCTTTTTTTCCTCACAAGTTTATATAACTCAATAAGCTCCTGTATCAGAGGAAGGGAAATTCACAACAATTTTTTTGAAGGAATTCACGATCCATCGTAAACCTGATACATTTCCGCTTTCCCATTAGTCAGTATCCCTAAAAGAAAAATTGTCTACTTGTAGCATGCATGTGGCAGCACAGCTCTATGGTGATCAGGTTTGATTATTAACCCCTGTTAAACATACTAAAAATACTGAAGCACAAAACAAAGGAAAACTGAACTTTTTTTTTACCCAGGACATTTGCGTTGTCGACTGCTGATTCCAGTGTTGCAAGTTCTGCTGCAAGTACTCCAGGCGCTCCATTCTCCCTCCAAATGTTCAGGAAAAGAGGTCCGACTCATACATTCGCCAGCTTTACACCACTATTGCAAAATGCAGTTCTTAGGTGAATAAATCAGGACACATCCAAAAAAATTAACTGCCTTACCTTTCCACTGATAGCACAGCATAAACTGGTTTACTGAATGCACTAATAACAGCATTATGTCAAAGGAAATTATTCGAATTCCTTGATCTAACTCCCAACAGGATTTTTTTTTCCACGGATGCCACTAGAAATTGCACTTGCCCTTATTTCATACCATTCTGGTCTTCATGGCCTTTTAGCTTCCCCTGTCATTCAGTTGCCCCCCAAAAAGCACTGAAATGAGGAAGGCAAATGAAGAGCCAGTACACAGAGGATTTGTCTACACATTGCCATATGGCAACATTGTTACCTTTTGGAAGTACTAAAGCATGGTGCAGTAACCACTGATACTGTGCTGTACACATGGTTCATGGTTATTTTTAGCAGCTACTTCACTGTAGCAGCGCATTATAATGGGGGTAACACACCGCTATGGCGAAGTAGCTGCTGGTCACATGTAGACATCTATGGATGATACTTCACTGTAGCACATCGCACCACGTGTAGATGCACCCATTGTGTAGAAGTTTACCTCACAGTAAATCTAGGTTGGAGTAAATGCATATGCAGACAAGCCCTGGGAGTACATATTTATATAATCAGGTTATAGGCAGTTCTAGATTTGACATATATACTCAGTGTATTTTTGCAACTTTTAATCCAAGCTGATGCAACATAATGGAGATTACTGATAGTTTGAATGGCGTACCATGAAAATAGAAGGTTCTTAGATTTTAAAAGATATTTGGTCAAATCCTCATTCTACTGAGGCCAAGAGATGTTTTGTACTAGCTACTTCCACACATATATATCACCTGCTGGGAGTGAACTACCACAATTCTCCTCTTATTTGCCTTCTGCATATTATTTGTTATATTATATTCATTGTATTGTATTGTATATTTCTGATAGATGTAAGGTTAAATATTTCTCTCTTGACAGAATAGATGCATCTTTTTCATTGAATTGAAAAATTCTGGTGCCCAGATAGCAGGTAATACTGGTGCCCAGATAGCAGGTAACTGACATATCAGAACTGTGAGAGCATGTGTATAGCTATTTTGTACATCTGAAATAGACATATACACACCATCTTATATTGTATCTGAGCAACAATAGCAGAAATAAGTTATTAATACATCATGTGAGGTACAACTTCCACGAACTAAAAGGCTAGTCACTGGCTAAATTCTGGTAAGAGGTAAAACTTATAATACCCGTGTCGGTATAAAACAGCCTAACTCTGTAGACTGGTGGTATGACACTAATTTAGAATCATAGCAAAGTAGGCCTGGAAGGGACATTACAAGGTCATTCAGTCCATCCCCTTGCTCAAGGCAAGATGGCCCCTGCTAAACCAAACCAGCCAAAAAGTTTAATTGTTTCTTCTTTTTTAACTTCCAGGGTTTTTGCCAAATTCCTGTTTGACCATCTTAAATTTCACCTGGACTTTCAACTGAAGAACATATTCTTTTTTATTTTTGTCCAAAGCTGCTGTTATCATGGTAATAATGTATGTTTACAATAATGTAGCTCCTAAATGTAGCTCCTCATTACCTCCTAAATGAAAAAGCACCCCTGAGAGTACTTGAGGAGGCCCCTAGGGGGTACATGTGGGCGGGCAGGGACGGAGTGCCACCATGAACCATCCTGTACTGCCTGCCTGGCTGGACGTGGGAGGAAGGGTAAGCTTGCACGCAGCGGCTGGCACCACTTCACATTTGGCCATGCACCTCGCTCCCTCCCCTCCATGCCCAGCTGCTGGGGTACACTGTTCCATGTCTGGCTGCAGGGGCAGGGGCACATTGATCCAAAAAAGATGAAAACCCCTGACTTAAGCAAAACAGAGTGCCATCAAGTAGTGCAGTGGTGGGCAATTATTTTAGCTGGAGGGCCACTTAATGCATTTTGGGGAGCTGTTGAGGGCCTAATACATAAAACCTTTCATCAGATATCATTTTAACAAATTATAGATTAAAAAAAATCATATACTAAAAATCAAATACCTGTTATGAAAATATTTTAATTTTATTCCAAAAATTAATGTTTTGTCCTGGTTTATGCTTTTATTTTTTTGAGTAGTGTATATAGAAGTGATTGCATAATAGCTCAAAATAAAGACTTACTATTGTATACTGTGGGGATGTGCGGGAGTGTGTGTGTGGGTGTGCAGTGTGTGTATGTGGGGGGTACATGTGTCAAGGGGTATGGATGTGTGTGCATATATGGGGGTGCTGTCTGCACACTAGGTCCCAGGAGCCAGCCAGGAGTTGGGAAGAAAGAGAGCAGTGGGCACGTACAGCAGAGCTCACCTGGGTAGTGCGGTACAGTCCAAATCCCCCCACCCCCGAAACTGGTCTGTGGCTGTCCCCACACCCACTCCTGGCCAGGACAGCCCATATTGCACTCTTGCCTGAACTCACCCTATGTCCCCGCCCACCAAATAGCACCTGGCCCCAGCCCCAGCCAGCATGCACAGCTTCACAGCAGGGCTGTTGCCACAGCTTTCTGGGAACTGCTTGGCTCCCACCACCTTCAACAGCTCCTCCTTCTCCTCATCCTACCCCTGTTGCACTGCTTTCAGCAGCAAGTAAGGTGAGGAAGCCATGTGGACACATACAGGGCAGCAGATATCTGGCCAGGTGGGTAGGAAGCTGCAGCCAGGTGGCTCCTGCCCCAGTTCACAGGGCTCCAGCTCCTGGCTCCTTTTCACCCACTCAGCCACCCACAGATCACTGATCATCACACTGGGTGGGCAGAGTGGATGGTAGGCAGCATGAAGCTGAAGCCCCACATGCTGGAGCAGGAACTGCATGGCTGTAGCTTCCTACCTGCCTGGCTGGGCATCTTCTGCCAGGCACGTATCTCCATGGCTTCCCCAAGTTACCTACTGGCTGGAGCAGGGCAACAGGGATAGGAGGAGGAGAAGCCACTGGAGGAGGTGGGGAGATGAGCAGTATTTAGGTGGCTGTGGCAGCAGCCCTGCTGGGAAGCTGTATACATTGGCCGGGGTCATGGCCAGGTGCTGTCTGGAGGGCATGGGGTGAGTGCAGGCAGAAGCATGACATGGGCTGCCCTGGGCAGAAGCAGGTGGGGCTTGACCCCATGCAGACCACTGTAGGGGCAGCCATGGGCAAGATATGATCAATTGGTGGGCATGTGCCCATGAATTGGATCTGATTAGTTGGCAGACTGGATCTGATTAGTTGGCAGACTGGATCTGGCCTGTGGGCCACATTTTGCCCATCCATGGACTAGTGTAATATAAAGCTCATCTTGGATGGACAGAAAGGAAAGGGAATTAGCAACCCTTATGGCCCTCCCCCTCTCCGCCCCCCAACCAAGGGCAAACATGTGTTGTGTTTGGTATCCATCTACACTTACAGAAAACCACGTAACTTAGATGGATTCCACGTCAGGCTATTTGAGGCTACAGACAGACATTACACATAAATCGGTTTAAGTGATCAGAGACTGGTTTAAATCTGTAACAGAACAGATGTTCAGTGCACATAAACCAGTTTGAAAGTGGCTGAAACCAGTTTGAGATAAACCTGGTTGAATCTAGTATCAGACTTAACTGATATGGCTTAAACTGGTTTATGCAATGCCTGTCCTAAGCCCCTTGCTGGTTTAAGATAAACCAGATACCGCTAGCATCCTGACATGCTCTCTGGGCTGGGTGGGGCTCTCTGCTCCACAGTGGGGCTGGTCTCTCCCCTCTGCTTCCTGGCTGCAGCTCTAGCAGAAGCTTGCAGGCATAGAGAGTCTGCCTGGTTTCTCCCCTCTGCCTTACACAGACACCTCAGCGTTAGCTAGCACAGGGTTTTTCAACCTTTTTGGGTCAGTGTACCCCTGGCAGCTGGTCAAAAAGGAAGGAGTCCCCTTGTGGCCAGACGTACGGGGGGGGGTCCCCCAGCAGCCAATTGGCAATGGGGGGGTCCCCTGCAGCCGACTGATGACCAGGCTAGTGGCACGGCAGTGGCAGAAGTGCTGGTGTTGGCACCCACTACCAAATACCCCCTGAGGCCATCCTAAGCAACCCCAGGGGTACGCATATCCCCAGTTGAAAACCCCTAAGGTAGCAGACCACATGCTGGCTATGGTCTGTACTGTGAGAGACAACAGGCAGACAGACTGTTTGGAGCTAATCAACAGCTAGCTTAATGTCCTTCCTTGGAAGAGCTGTTTAAGAAGAGCTGTTCAAGAAGAGATCCCTTAGTTAATGGAGAGAGGCTTTGTTTTCTTAATGCATTGATAAACACTGAGTTAGGGGTGATAACATTCCCTGCTGGGCTGCTCAGAGTGGTGGGGGGGAGGGAGCAATAATCAGAGCGTCCTGCCAGTGCCTGGCCATGTCCCCCTCAGCTCAGTCCTGTGAAAGCCAAGGGAGGGCTGCTTTAGCATCCCCCGGTTTCTAGCCTGAGCCACTGCAGGCATGTGCCTGCATTTCTGGGATTTTTTTTCGGTTACAAAACTGATTTAGCCTAGCCAGGTTAGACTAACCTGCAAAGATTGAATCAATTCAGGCTCAGGTTTTTTGAATGTCTGTCCCTAGCCTGAATGTCTGCACCTAGTCTAAAGGAATATCCTTGGTACGACTGTACTCCAACCCCCTACAAATTTAAACTTCAACCCTATTTCAAAGCACATTGATGATAGGACTCCTCAATGAAATGCTTGTAAGAATTGTATAACATGGGACAAGAATGTTTTTCTTCCTGACCTTGCTCTTGAGAGTCCATTTCTCAATCTTGAAAAATGGCTAAGCCATTTTTTGCTGAAATTTTCAGGGGAGATTGAAAAAAAAACCCTCAAAAATACCAGACTGGGGCAGACACCTGGAATAGACAGTGAAAGTCTGTCAGAGTTACAGGCAATTCAAAACAGCAGTCTTACAATGGAAAGTATTGGCAATCTTAACAGCAGATATTGCTACCTACTTTGCCTCCAACAGAACTTTGAGACTCATTTCTAAATGCATGATAGACTTACACATGTATTTGTTTTCTCAGAAAACAGTTACCTGCTATTCAGTGCACAGATGTGTTATATTACAATATGACATAGTGCAGTCATGCCTAGTTTGCCAGCATCACTAGGGTGATTCCATTATTTTAAAGAAATGAAAATGAATAATGGTTTGGTTCCTGTTGTATACTAATGATACTTTCTGAAATCTCTATCTTATTCTATTCATGGTTTTATTTGTTTTTTTAGATGATGAAAACTGTCCTTGGCTCACTATTTTATGATTCTAACAGCAAATTATCACTAGGGGAGACTGCGCTGTGCTGTCAATACAATACCATGAGAATAACAGAATAAATGCATATTGGCTGTGCAACTATTTTTTTTAAGTTGGCTTACAAACTGGACATCTATTTACATTCACATTTGGTAGAAACTATCTCAAGTCGGAGAGCTGTCGACGGACATGTAACAGAATTCTTGCCATAAGTGACTGCTGAATTTTTTGATGATTCATTCACCAAAACTGTCACTACTTTGGATGCAGTGACATTTTAAAACTTATCTTTAAAATACAAGTTTTCTGTAACAATTTTATGTCGTAAATCTGAACTGGTTCTTTTCAGGAGATTAATCCTAATAAACAGTGTTTGTGAGCTGAATACTCATTGTGAGCTCCCATCAGAGATCTTTATGTCTCTGAAAATAAATTGATATTTTTGTTCACAATAAAGTATAGGAACTGGGCAATAATGACATGACATTTATAAAATACATTATAAAATCTAGTTTAAACAAGGTAATGTCAGCATGAAAACATCTTTTTTTTTTGGCTATGTTAGAAATAGCACACTCTTCACAGAGACAGATTCCAATCACACAAATAAACTGCTTTTCTACATAAATATTTCATTAGGAAAATGCCCATATGTAAATCCAAATATTTCCATACTACAAACAAGCCTTCCCCATTTTCTAAACAAAATAAACAGTCAGCACAACAGAATCTTCACCTAAAACTGTTATCTTTTCAAAATAATTTATGTTTTATTAACAGAGTACAGAATAAATAGGGACATCAAAAATGAACAGGGGGAGTGATCAACTCTGCTCATTTGAAAACAAAAGATATTAACCGTGGGGGAAATGTAAAATGTGTTAATTGGTGAATGGAATACTTTCCCTTTATGTTGAATGTAAATCATACTCAAGTATTTATCATTAATTACAGCATTGTCTAGGTGCTAATCATGTTAATGTTAGAATATCTAATATCAATCCATAGTCGTTATATAGCAAAACTGACTTTAATTATAACTGCATCTGTGTAAGACTAAAGAACCAGATAGAGATCATCATAATTTTTTTTGAGTACTGCTGCAAAAACCCAAGCAAGTGTATTTGTATGTACAGGGAAAAATTCTTTCCTTACAGTATAGTAGCTTCATGTTAAGATGCCTTAATCTCAGAAACATCTAGATTCACATTACAAATTTAAAATGATTCATCTCAACTTAAAAGTAACGAGCACATGACTTTGTAGAAGCAATTTCCAAAACTTAATTAGAATAAATTAATTGCTGTGTTTCTTCTGTTAACAACAGAAGTAAAATCAGTATCATACCTTTCCAGTTTCACAGTCTGTTCCATCCATTGGTGGATCCAGTTTAGTTTTGCATTCCTTCTCACCTTCCACCTTACACCATAACCCAGTGCAAATAACATGCTGAAAAACAAACATATGCCGCTAAGAACCGAGGTCCCTAACGCAAAAATGACTGTGTTTACAATCCATTAATTTCACCTAGTTGCCAGTTTAATGGTATACAGTCTGTACAGAGCCAGGTTAAAAACATGAATACAAATTAGGAATTCAATTTTCAAAGGGGTGGAAATCCTGTTTGCACTTTCCTTGAGTTGGAGACAGTGGCACTAAACCATCTGTTGTTCTATTGGGCTAGGGAGAGACATTACACACAAACCAGTTTAAGTGATCAGAAACTGGTTTAAACCTGTAACAGAACAGATGGTTCAGTGCACATAAACCAGTTTGAAAAGGACTGAAACCAGTTTGAGATAAACCTGGTTGAATGTAGCATCAGACTAAATTGATTTGGCTCAAACCGGTTTATGCAATGTCTGTCCCAGAACACCTTGCTCATTTAAGATAAATCAGAGTCCCCCAGCATCCCGGCATGCTCTCTGGGCTGGGTGGGGTTCTCTGCTCCACAGCAGGGCTGGCCTGTCCCCTCTGCTCTCTGGCTGCAGCTCCGGCAGTGACTGCAGGATGCTCACCATCCTCCCCTCACCATTCCCTCCTAAGCAGGATTTCCCTGCTCCACCCTGCCTTGCAGAGAGGTGTCTGTATATTAGCTAGCAGACCATATGCAGGCTATGGTCGGTGTTGAACCAACAGGTAGAATCAACAGGCAGAATCAACAGGTAGCTGGTAAGGTCCCTCTGTTGTTTTCTTAATGGGGTAATAAACACTGAGTTAGGGATGACAGACATTGTTATCAATTCCCTGCTGGTCTAATCAGTGTGTCCTGCTGGAGCCTGGCCACATGCTGTGCAAGGGAAGGGAGGGCTGCTTTAGCACCCCCCAGCTTCTAGCCTGAATCACTACAGGCATGTGTCTGCAATTCTGGGATGTCTGTTCAGTTACAAACTGCCTAGCTAGGTTAGACTAACCTGCAAAGATTGAATCAATTCAGGCTGAGGCTTTTTCAATGACTATCCTGAGCCTTGGTGGGAGGAAAGAATTCTAGGAACCTATACATAGTTTCACAACCCTTGGATGTTGCAAATCTATTGGAGAGCTTTATCCAGCATACCAGTTTTGCCATTGCACAGATTCACTGTCTTGGAGGTAGTGCTAACTGGTTTGGAACACCCTGAAAATGAGGATTTTCTACCCACTAGCACATAATTTCAGAGCAAATTCAAGCTACGTGCTGAGGCCAGGATCTGTCCCAACATATACTGACAAAAACCAGGTAGGCTTACCTGGTTTGTCTGACAAAATTAAAATAAAGCTACTAAGCAATTCTTGTTATTGCCACTCACTCATGCATGGAGAACAGAGAATGCCAGCATGGTTCTAAAAATGGAAGTAGGACTTAGAAGTGAACATAGTTAAGAAATCTTATATAGATTGCTATGAAGTATATTCACTATGCACAATAAAGGATAGTAGACTATTTGAGGCTTACAGTGAAACTGAAATGTTTAACTGAAAACTGAAATGGAAAATTTCACAACCACAGCTAAGTGCACTGAATCCAACCTCCCTTCAACAGGGTAATCAGGTGAATAAACACTTTTAATATTTTTCCTACCTATAGTAAAATTCAATTCATATTTCTCAGTTTGGATCACATCAAAGAATCCACTGTAGTGGAAATACCAAAAATAAGTTCTGTTGTATTGCCAATAAGCCAGAATATGCCAGGAAGCTTTCATATATTAGAAGTTTTACTGAAAATGTATTTTCACACTGAATGCCCTGCTACAGGGAAACACTCAGGGGAGTGTTCAGCTCATAAGTGCTTTACTCAGCCTTAATTCAACTTTACAGATCATCCTGAACTCAGGTATGAACTGTCTAATTGTCAAGATTAAAGTGAGTTTCCAACCCCTGAATGAATTTACACAAAACTCCTACTTTTCTTCTTTAATACATAAAATATTTTCCAGACTATTAGGCTCGCTGATGACTTATTCAAATGTCCCCTGTTTACACCTAATGGTCCCTCCTTCACAGTATACTTCCACTTCACCATAACCTTTTTCCTTCCTGGAAGCAGGTCAACTCTTAACTAAAGCCAACATTCACACAGAATAGATACTAAGAAGATGACAAGGCGGGTATAATTTTTCTTCACTAAGAAGTCATTTCATTGTAGATTTTAGAGATGAAAAGAAGAATTAATCATTGAATCCATCCTCTGCATTAGAACAAGACAGATTTTATTCCTTTTCAAGAGAAAATCTAGCCATGAACATTACTACTTATTGTAATTCCCCAACTGACCTTGGTAACCTTTAATTTTCCCCTCATGTAAGAGCTATACAGCTAGTCTATTCTTGAGAGAAAGAGATCAAGTTTGGAATCATGACTTCCTCCCCCTTCCTTCTTTTTTTTCCCCCTATTATGTTCCCCCCTTACCTGGAAACCAGATGGAAGCGAACAGGGCCAGCTGGGGCTGGATCACTGCCTGAAGGTTATTGCTTGCGCAGCCTGATATGAACAGTTCAGGGGCAAGAAGAATCAGGAGAGAGAGGGGGATAAAAGAAAAAGATCAGCAGCAGGTTCTCAGAATCCAGGGCTGCTAGAATAGAAGATGCACTGTTTCTAGCTTAAATTACTTAGTATGCTGGCAAATCTAATAAAAGTGTGTATGCCAAAGAGGATGCACGAAAAGGTGTTTAAATATTATGTTTGCTAAACATATGGTACCTTAAAAAACCTCATTGTAAGGAAACATCATTCACAAATGGTTGCATCTCTGCCAGGACTTGAAGGTGAACTGCAAGCATTAGCCCATGTCTAATATATAAAGATGTCTGAGTAATCACTTAAAAGAAAAACAAGGAGAATTATTTAAATTGGCCTATCAGGCCAATTCCTAAAGACAATGCAGAAATGACAAGCCATCAGAAATTCCACCATATCATAATCCTTCTGTTTCAAGTAAGAAATGATGAAGACGGAACCTCACTAAAGAAAAGATGCTGGAAAATTAACCTTTCATAGTTCAGATGATATAGCTATTTAATAATTTATGTTCAAGGATTCACATCTCCAAATGACTATAATTATACCCCTTTTAGCTTTCAACTTATGCCCAAAGAAATATACCTACCTAGGAATGCAAAACTGTTTATGTATGAAGCCATAGCTACTTATAAAACAAAGAGAATTCTTCCAATTATGAAAAACATGGAATCAGATTTATGAAGATTTAGGTGCCAGTAAGTGTAAGTAGGATTTTCAAAATTCTGTAAGTAGGGTCCAAACAATTGGAATCAGACACCTTATTTGTTTACATGATTTTGTAAATTCTACTAGATGCCTAGATATACATTTAGGCTACTAAAAAGCTTATGAACTGTGTCCCTATACAGATTCCACTTACACTTATCCTTGAGACAAAGTGACCAGTTTAGATGCCTAGTATACCTTAAGTGACCTCTGATATAAAACTATAATGAATGGAAGTGTAAGAAAGCAAGAAAATATTAGAGAAAAAGAACATGGAGAATATTTTTTTTCCTGAATTGGAAACTAGGCTATATAAAAACTCTACTGTTGGGCCTTCATCCTATATCAAGGGGCCTGAAAACAATCACCGCCTCAAGAACACAGACCTCTGAATGGCTTCAGATCTACTAAAGATGTCAGTTCATATCATGTCTTTAAAGTCAAATGATGAAGTCTTTTAGCTCTATGCCTGCTGTCAATTACCAAGGCCAGTCTGCTTTTAGGTGCTGCTTATGAATTAACGTAAGGATTCAAATCAAACATTTTTTTATTTACCAAATTGTTAAAAAGTAGGGTTAGTGTTGTTGCTACACTGAATTTATTCATAGCTTTGAGTACCAAGAATGCATTGATGATATGATTTGAACATGAAAAAATGCCAGCTCCAAGGCTGTGTCCACACGAACATGGACATTTGTTTCCCTGGAGACAAGAAACAGCAGCACAAGATAAAAATGTTTTCTCCATGTTCTCTAATATTTGCATGATCCCTACTTGTGCCACTGCTACTTGTCCCTGGGGAACACCTGTGCCCCGCCTGGCTTCTGGCACATGGCAGGCTACCCCAGGTGGGGTAAGGGAGGCTGGGGCCAGCACTGGGCTGGCTCCAGCACTTTACCTGAGATCCTGAGGGCCCCCTGGGGCTGCAGCAGCAGCAATCCTGCCCCTCGGAGCCTGGCTGGCAGCTGGAGTGTGGCTTGCCGGTATGCAGCCCAAGGGGCTAATGCAGAGAGAATTAAATGCTTCTCAAATTAAAGGCAAAGTCTCATAACATCAAGCCAAGCTTCTTCCTTAGATAATTACCAATGATTAGATCATTACCACCATCTGAACAAATTAACAGGACCATGGAGAAGGATGGCAGGAGCTTCTCAGACCTTCCAATGGTTCACAACCCATTTTACATTTTCCGGGATGTTGCTCAGTATTAGCACTGTGAGGTGTGCTAACATGATTCACAAGATAAACCCAAATATTTCAAATGGCAATACATAGTGTAAAGAACATTCTGACTGTTGTGGTCTTTCTAAATTCTTTGCAACAGAAGAGTGTTGCATTATTTTTCTGTACTCAAAAAATAAGCAGAAACTAAGAGCTGGCATTTTTGGAGGAGTACCTTGAATCTAATGAGGGGTACCTTAGATTCTAAAAATTCTGAGAACTGCTGCATTAAGTTGTGCTACACTAGGTCTAAGCAGTCCTGTATTTGTCCAGGAAGGCACTTTGCCTTGCCTTCCTCTTTTAAACTAAGCCCTTATTCTTCAAGCTAAAAATAACTAGTTCCTTCAACCTTTTCTCATATAGTTTGGCTTGTTTCAACTAAAAGCTTACAGGCAACCTTTCCTATAAAGCCTACAATTGCCCTTATCTTTAACTTTTGTTGTTAATATTTGTTTACAAATAAAATAATATTTGTAAACAAATAAAATAATATTTGTTTACTAAATAAAACTCCTGGACCA